AACAAATTGATGGCGGGCACAATTTATCACAATCACACTAAAATTAAGACCCCGATCATTTTACCGATTCAAGTTTAGAATTTAAATTTTACTACAGTAAAAAAGTTTTAGAAATAGTCACATCTAATTTTTTTACTACAATAAAAAATTCACATAAAATCACATCTCAACTCGAATTAAATACTCGAATCAGCGAACTAAACAGACCCAAATTAGCTCAAAAACTGGACACAAGCAAAGCAATTGACTTTGAGCATATCTCTAGCCTGATTCTGAATTATGGTTCTTAATTCGCTACAGTGTTTTTCTCTCTCAAAAAATTTAAATTTTAAAAATCAAAATTATAAATCATAGTTCTGAACTCATGAACTAAACGTCACCTTAAAATACTCACATCACTCCAAGCTGATGAAATTACAAAATGCAAATCAGAGATGAAAAATGAATCTGATCACCAAAATATAAGGAAAACAGTCTTTGGGTTGTTGATTTTTTTCCTCATTTTGCATCTACCAAAAAATATCATTATTTAGGAGGCCATAGAGTTAGGACGGCGTCTACATCCGGCGAGGTCTCCAGTGGACAGGCGACTAAACGGCGCAGGCGTCAGGTGAGGGGGCACGAAGGAGGACGTGACAGATGTTGGGCTACTCAGGGGAGGGGGCGCGGTCATTAGTGGGATTGGTGCGCGGCGGCTCCGGGGAGGGGGAGAGTTGGACGCGTAAGGGGGCTGGTGCGCAACAATGAAGTTAGGTTATTTTATGTTCAAATAAACATGAGGCAAATGGAGGGTTGAGATTTGATATTACTAGATTAGAGGCTGATATTAAACAAGAAGTTTTTATCTTTTTACCTTTAATTTAACGGAGTTAGAGTTAAGGTGTTGATGTGATTAATTTTAGTTAAGGGGTGTTTCTATTATTTTGGTAAAACACAATGAGTATAACTATAATAAGCCCAAATAAGTGCAGCGGCTTTTATAGAAATACTGTAACGCATAAAGAAACATATAATATTGTAATAGTTATTTGGAATAAAATTAATTTAGTATCATGTGTTATAGTGAAACATGTTATTGATATTATGTATTTTTGATAATATTAAAATGGTAACTTGATATTTTTAAAAACATCTTCTCAGTACCTCAAAGTTAATTTTTGAGATATGTAATGTCCAAACTATCCTTTTGATTAATTAGATAGAAATCAATATTTTAAAAAAAATTAAAAAATATTTTAAAACAATAAAGTATTTAAAAGAAAACAAAAAAATAAAAAAGTTCGTGATTTTTTTTTCTAGATTTATTAGTTTTTAGTTAATTAAATAGAATGGCATTAAGGTCATTTTGCATCTCAAAAATCAACTTTAGAATATCAAGAAGATGATTTTAAAAATGTCGAGGTACTATTTTAATATTATTAAAAATACAAAGAATATATTTCGCTATAACACGGAATACTAAAATAATTTTATCCTTAGTTTTTTTTTTCAAGCACCGTAAATAGTTATATTATATTTCACTGGATCCATTGAAAATGGTAATTAAAAATACAAGTCTCAATCCTTTTATGGTATCTAGCACTTGTGCCCCTAAAATTTTTATAGCTTAACATTTCTGTCACTGAATTTTTTCCTTTTCAATTTAGTTCATAAGGCCCCGTTCATTCTACTTATTTAAGTTTAGAATATTTCGCTATAACACACGGAATACTAAAATAATTTTATCCTTAGTTTTTTTTTTTTCAAGCACAGTAAATAGTTATATTATATTTCACTGGATCCATTGAAAATGGTAATTAAAAATACAAGTCTCAATCCTTTTATGGTATCTAGCACTTGTGCCCCTAAAATTTTTATAGCTTAACATTTCTGTCCTGAATTTTTTTCTTTTCAATTTAGTTCATAAGGTACCGTTCATTTTACTTATTTAAGTTTAGAATTCGAGTTTTACTACAGTAAAAAATTCTCAGAAACAGTCATATCTAACATTTTTACTACAGTAAAAAAACTCTTATATAAAGTTACATCTCAATTCGAATCAGCAAACTATAATTTGAGTTTTACTACAGTAAAAAATTCTCAGAAACAGTCATATTTAACATTTTTACTATAATAAAAAATTCTTATATAAAATTACATCTCAATTCGAATCAGCAAACTACACAGACTCTAGGTAAGCTCTACCACCAAATTCTCTTAATTTTTTTATTCATTCGAGAATGGCAATATTTATTGTTCAGAATTTTTCTTGCTACAAGCTATACAGTTGTTTTTTGTTTTCTTGTTGCAAGTAATACAACCATATATAATCCACCTCAATCAATGACAAAGTAATTATGGAGTTTAAGATTTTACGTCACCGTCAGATGCTGGTGATGATCATCTCTCAGAAAGTACGAGGCCTGCAAGCTCATGATGCTGACAATACTACCTAATGTAGGGGACAGCAGCTCTTGCAGATCCTCTTTTGCTTACTTGAAAAAGATCCTTACACTTTTTGCATTTGGCTGGCCCTGCTAAGAAAGGTTGCTTATAATCTGCATGCAACCATAAAAACTGGATATTGGGTCAGAAAAAAGAAGATCAAGCGTCAGAATGATTGTTTGTTTGACACCAAAACTTAAGAATGGGGCAACCACTGCTAAAAGCTGCTCTTAAACAGCCCTTTTGACCCAATTGCATACAAAATTTTCTTATTAGAAAAATATTTTAAGAATTTTAACCGTGTTCTTTTTAAAAGAAAGGAAAAAGTGAGAGATTGAGAGAAAGATGGTGGGTTTTTTCAGTTTTGTGACTTGTAAAACTAAAAATGACATTTCAATCTTAACATAAGCTTAAAAAAAAAAAAACATAAAAAAAAAATTCCTCGGTCGGTTCAGTTTTAACCGACACTGCACACGTAAAACTGAAACCGAACCGAATATCCAGAGAGTCGGTCGGTTAACTGAACCGATTGTGTTCGGTTCCACGTGGCACCATCGTTTTCAGTTTTGAGTGGTCGGTTCTTCGATTGGTTGCGGTCGGTTTCGGTTTTACGGTTTTTTTGTACAGTCATAGAAAAAATTGCTGTTGTAATTATTAAATTACTTTTTTAACGGTCTTATTTGTAAATATTCACCTCAAAAATTTACGGCACGAGTAAGTTTTTTAATCACATATTAAAGTTTTGTTTATTTTACTGATTCGAGTTTAGAATTTAAATTTTATTACAGTAAAAAACTCTCAGAAACAGTTACATCTTAACTCGAATCAACAAACTAAACGAACCATAAACTGTTAAAATTTAATTCAACGATTAAAACAACAATTCTTACAAGTAGTTAAAAAGGACTGGTCCTATAGTTGAAATTCCAAAAATATTTAGAACACTGCAATTTTTAAGAATTTTATTTGTAGAGTTGAAATTCTAAATAAATTTAGAACATTGTAATTAATAAAAAGTGAATCTTATTTGTAGATATCATTCTAAAAAGTGAATCTTATTTGTAAATAGTATACTGTAAAACCTATATTTTTATTAGTGTGTGATTTTAGACACCGATGATGCACCTAGAATTTTGTATTTGCAATGTGGTAATGTAACGACTAAATGGCTTTTTCCGAAACAAGTGGGGTTTACCTATTTTTTAACCTCATGATATGATTCAATTTGTAGTTTAAAAACACTTTACGACGTAAGGATGAGAGTTTCTCTGGTAGTCTCTATAAAAATAGATTACCGGTAGTTTCTTATTTTTCAACCATCAAATCTGTATCAGAATCTGTATGATATGCATATTTTTTTAATCTGATGTGATTTTAACTAAATCTAACGATTAAAATTTAAGACTACCGGTAGGACGGCCTACTGGAGAAACTCCCCAAAAGGATATCTTATTGTGGAGAATACTTCTTAGGAGTGTTAAATATCATAAACATTAAAATCATAGATCTGGATTTTTACCTTTTACTCTTCATTAATACTCTTTTGACTAATATAGTTATTTGATTAAAAGGATATTAATTAAAAGTAATGGATAAAAATCTATACACTTTAAGGAGTATTTGTATCTTTTTCTCAAATCTATATGAACATTAAATTATATGAAAATTCTTCGATAAGATATAAATTAAGGCACTATTTTGAACAACCATTCTTTATCGTGCTCAGTTGATTTTGTATGCTTACTTTATCTCAATGTGATTTTGAGAAGACCTAAGATTAAGAAACATACAATATTGGTATTTGATCACATTCAATATCAAGAAACATACACTATCAGTTTTGACTGGATTTAAAATTCAAGAATATACATTGTCTGTATTAAAATACTTCAAAAATATATATTTATACATACTTAAAAGAGTCAAGGAGTTGACTTCTGGTCATATATTGCCCTCTATTTTTTTCTGTTATTTTTTTTATTCTCTTTTTTCTTTTTTTTTTTTCATTTTTAGACATTTTTTATATTTTCTTCTCTCTTTATTTTCTCCTTACCTATTGCCTTTTCTTTTAAAAATTTCCCCCCACTGTTGCCTACATATTGTCTTTAGAGTAATTTTTTTTATTTCATTCACTAACAGTGAATGAGTATTTAAATAGAAAAGGACGAAAGATACATAATATGTTGCATTTCTCTTTATAAAAAAGATATTATGTTTATAACTACGACTTATTAAAATATCTTTGCTTAACGAGCATTTTAATTCTTTTACTTTTTTGTTCATTTTAAATCTTGTGTTTTCTAATTACGCCTTATTAATTTACTTTAGCTCTCTAATATGCTCATTTAAATAATTTTAAATATGTGCTTACCTAAATATTTATTTTATTGTTAATATTTCTTTTTTCTAAATGTATGTCCTAAAAAAAAATATAACATAAGAAAAAATAAGCATAGTTCTTTAACAAATGAAGGTGATTTTGTCAGTAGCTATCTGGACATAGAATTAATGCACCCGAAATTTTCACTGCGAAATTGAGGTCTTCCAAAACTTTTGCCTCAATTGCCTGAAATTTAGTACCACCTTGTTAATAAAGTAAACCCACTATACAACTATGGAGAAAGCTAATTTGATGAGAAAAAGGATTAAAAGTAACTTCCTTGAGAGCCATCTATAAAACTATGCTTAAGTTATAACAGTTAACTAAAAATCCAACAACATATTGTTTGTTAGCACTTACTCTTTAAGTCTTTAATTCTTCTTCTTCTTCCTTGGTCTCCTTACTCTCAGGGTTCACTTCTCTTTCCTCAGCAGTCCTCTCAATCCCCTCATCTCCAACATTCTCTAATTTCTCTTCATGTAAGCCCTCCTCCGTTTCCATACCAACAAGACCAGAATGAGCACCAAGCACTGCTTCTTGAGATTCCTCTTCGTCGGCAGAATCCTTCTCCGCGATTCCATCATCATCGGAATCACTTTTGCCCGAATCACTCTCATTGTCCAATGTAGGAGAGTCTCCACCCTCAGTTTCTTCGATTTTTCGATCTTCGGATTCTGCCATGCTAATGTCTGGCTCAGGAAACCGCTGTTGTAGGGGCACTGCATCGCTGATCACTTCATGACCTGTCCTCAGCCTTTCCCTATAGCCCTCCATTTCTATTCTGTATCTCTCCTTGTCTTTTACAGCTTTCTCCTGGTAAACCTGCATTCCACAAAACCGAAAGGTTAAGAAACCTTGCATGCACTTTTCTCCTTTTTCTCGATTGAAATACTAGATTTGATATGGTCCTCACAGCTCTTTCAGATTCGTTTAGCTTGTTCCATAGTTCACCAATCATTCTGCTTATATCTCTGTCCTTCCCGGGGTGAAGTGGCTTCAATCTTGCGTGCTGCTCCTTGAAGAAGAAATTGTACCCGCTTCTGTTGGGTTTTGGATGAGCAGGGTCCCTCCTCTTGATCTCGGATTTCTTCCTGCGTCGTCGGCGGTGGACACCAGGCACAGCAGAGGAGGCATTGGCATTGTCATTCCTGTTAGAAGATGGTGTTTGTTGATATGTACCTCGTGGCGTTTGCCATGACGGATCCTGTGTACACTGATAAAGTACACCTTTTAGCTTCTTTGAGCCAATGGTAACAGTCACAAGATACCCGCTTTCAAACTTTCCATCAATGACCCCTATGACAGAAGTTCCAGCTGATGATGGGGGTGTTTTTGCTGCATTTGAAAAAGTCAAACACAAAATATAGTTTGCCATCAATATAGCAGTTGGATGTAAATAAAAAGAAGAATCATAAGAAATATGCATTATTAAGATTTAAGGGTGTGTTTGGTAGGAGAGAAAGAAAATAGGAAGGAGAAATATATATAACCTAGGTGAGGCAAATAACGAGTAACCTTATTGTGTTTGCATGGATTTCGTCTTATAATCCTTTCAGATTGGGAGGGGTTAACATTGGGGTGTCTTTGAAGGATTTGAAATTATTCAATTCCCATCTCTTTTCTTTTCGACCAAACAATGTTCTAAAATCCTTCCACTATTCCACCTACCCTATCTCTCCTACCAAACAAGCTCTAAGAAACAACTTAATGCAACCATATTAACACTAATTAGAACAACTTAATGCAACAGTCTGATGGGGAAACATTTAAGAGGTTTCCTGCAAGCAGAAAAAAGAATGAGCATATGCAAAATTCTTGACAAAATATTACTCCCGCACAAAGCTTTCTTGGAAACAATTTTTTGGAGGAGGTCAAAGGAGATGGGAATGAGAAAGGCAAAGGCAAAGCTAAACATCTACTATCTAGATGCGTTTCGTCATAGAAGAAAATGAAAGACCGAAAAGGCCACCATCGAAACCACTCTAATTTCCATGCATCTTTCTATGATAAGAGTTGAAAAGAAGAACAAGAGACCTCCAGACATTTCTGCATCGCTTATTTGACTGTGCTGAAACTTAGCGGCTTGATTTTCCGGCGGTGATGACATTGGTGAAACAGATGTCCTCGATGGGCTATGCAAGTTATCTGCACTATATAGTTGAATCAACTAAAGTAAATGGAAACAAAGAGTTGTTGATATGAAGCTAATATCACATGTTCATACCACCAGAGACGGAATATCCGTGAGATTTAAAATAATAAATCTGTTCAAAGTGGCGAAGCAATGAATGATAGTACTTTCGCAGCACAAAAGAGGCGTTCGTAGCCGTGGAGGGAAAGTTGAAAAGGGAAGTAACTTCCTTCCACTTTTTATCCCTAAGAATCTGCAAATTTATAGAAAAGTAATCAATATAGTAACTCATCTTCGGCAAATTAAATTTAAACACACGAGCATCATTTGCCACATTAAACATAAAAGAATTTCCAACATCTGCTAAGTAATCTTCACATCTGGTCAGTCACAAATCAAAAATTCATGATGAACATTTCAAACAATTAAAAATAAAGATCTTGTCATCCTATCTTTAGAAGATAATGTAGAACTTTTACACAAATGGTCTAGTGGTTGGACGTAGTTTCCTCTTACCTTCCCAATACCGCCACGTGAAGTTACCTCCCGAAAGAGTCGATGCAGGTCGAGCTCTTTTCCCCCTATGATTGGGATCCTAAAATATTAACACAAATATAAAATTTACAAAAATATCAGCAGCTGAGAGAAACATATATATATATATATATATATATATGTATGTATATACAGAAAGGCAGGGATTTTTTTTTTTTTTAAATGATTGAATGGTAATATAAAAATACACAAAAGAAGCCAAAAAGCACAAAGCCATCTCAATGTTCTAACATGCCAGCTTGCCTAAGGCCTAGACCCAATTTCCTTATTCAAATACCGCTCTTATAATTTGAATAAAACAGTTACAAAAATGACCATGCTAATAGGTGGTATTAAAAGGTACAAGACAAAGAAGAGGATTCTTGACCTAATTATTAACTCTTTAGGATGTAATTCTCCTGACAGAATGATTTTACTGTGATTCTAGAAAAAATTTCTAAACCAATTCAGAACAACTTGAACAACTACTGGAACAGTTATCTGTATAGCCATAAGACTCATAACTTAATTAGCACATTTACTGGTTCAGATCCTTTATAAACTTCTCAGTGATTCGCTTCACCTGCTAGTACAACAACCAAATACCACATAACATAACAGAAATGATACATTGTTTCTATTCCATGCAACTCAGTGATCAAATAAAATATTTAACAAAAGAAAAAAAGAAAACAGAATTCAGCCCAAAAAATAACTATTGCAATACAGAGACTTCAATAACTATCAAGCTTCCTTAGGCCAATATTCATGTTAGATGTTTTGACAAAGTCCCACCACATAATTTAGCCAACTAAGTCCAAAGACCTAGAAAAACAAATTTATAATACTAGTACAATGTGTCAACGACAAAATGCTGTTTAAAAAAAAAAAAAAAATTTGAAAAGGTTAGACCAATCAGAGAATGAGACAATATGGCCCAAAGAATTGAGACGATTGATAAAAACCATGTTAAATTCTACACAGTTTAAGAGAGACCCTTTTGTCTCAATTACCCCTTTTACCAGATACCACAAACTGATAATGATGTAACCATGTATGGCGCAAAAGAAAAAAAGGCAAAAAGGTAAGCATTAATATAATGACCAAACGTCTAAAAGTCATGAAATTTTTTGGTAGTCTCATTGGTTTCCAAGGAATATAGAAGCAGAAAAAGAGAATAAATAAAAAGCTTACATGAACTTGGTTCCCATTGAAGCATGAAGCTTCTTCAAGTTATCCATGAAGAGCTTAGGATCAGCAGCAACATCCTCATATTTACCATCAAGTTGTGGATATGGACGAAAGTTGGAAGAAGCTTCTCTCACTAACAATGGAGTCTTTCCACCAGAAGAAGTCGATGCCATGTTCACTTTTCCTTTTCTACATTACACTAATCACCACATAACAACAAACAGTTAGAAGGAAAAGCACAATACAAAAGGGATTAGTTTTTTTTTTTTCTTTTTTTTTTAATCTTATCATTAGAAAAGTCAAAACTAAAAAGAAAGAGACAAACCCAGAAGATATTATAGATTGTATATAAAGGAATAGTGAGAGATAGAGAGAGAGAGAGAGAGAGAGTAAAGAAAACAATAAAAATCACCATGCAGATTCTGCAGAAGAGAAGTGATGAAAAAACTGAGCTTGAGAAACCCCAGAAGGTCTACTAATAACTCCCAGTAACAAGGGGAAGAAATAGAGAATCAAATCATCAAAGCCCAAGAAAATGAAAAGAAGAAAAAGGTACAAAAGCAATATAGCTGTCAAAGCCATGAATTCCTTGAGAGTACCGAGGATGCAACAACAGGAAGAACCATCCATCAAGATCAGACCTTTCAATACAAAACCTTTTAGCCTTATTGCAATTAATAAGACCCAGATACAAAAGTCCTTATTCTGTTCATTTCCACTCTTTTTACTTACCACAGACAGACATTTACAGGCCTATCTATCTGTAAATATATATAGGCCTATCTATACATATATATTATATAGAATATACACCTTTTGCTGACATTCCAAAGATATCATAATATCTAATAACCACCAAACAAATGTCCAAATATGTCTATCCCATTAACAAGTCCAATGCCTTTTCTTTTTCCCTTTTTTTTTTTCCGACACTGTTTCAGAAGATACCATTACAATACAAATAATAAATATATGTAGAAATATAGATGTTGGGTTTCTTTCTGTGGGGTAGTGGGCATCAATCAAAACAGGGGTCTCCCCAAAATCTCACCTTTTGCCCAAAATAAAACATCATTTTGAAATTTCATTTCCCTTTTTTCCTTTTACACTTTCATGGAGACCAAACATGAAGGAATAGAACAAATAAGAATTACCCACAATAGAAAAATGCACTAACTACTGTTCATTATTCTATTTCTCTTCTTTTTTTTTTCTATACATTATGAATTATATTACAGAAAGCCCAAGATTTAATAAGAATATGAAAATAACACATGTCCTATGAAAAATATAAAATAATAGAATGCAGGCAACCCAGATGAGAAATGTCTGACGTACTTCCTCAAAAAAAAAAAAAAAAAGTCAGACATACTTACATGATACAAGCTTCATTATAAATAAAGAGGGAAAGAAATATAATAAAGAGGGAGGGGAAAAAAAAAAAAAAAAAAAAAAAAAAAAAGCCTTACCGAACAATGAGCGAGAGACAGAAGAGAATTGAGCATGCAAAAATGAAATGACATTAACGAAGAAAGCTTAAAGCCTAACCTGCCTATTATAATCCAAAGAGTAGGTTATTATTATTATTATTATTATTATTATTATTATTATTATTGTCATCGTCTTACGGTTTTAATATTTTTTTCTCCTCTTAATTGGACGGTGGAAATATACAGAAGAATAAGTAAAGCTTGATAATAGAGAAAACCAAGTTCTGAAAAGACAATTTTGGGCACATTAAGTTGCCCTGCATATAGAGATGATGAAGGGTAGTCTTGGAATTCAATATATGATGTTCTTAATTAGGAACATATTTGGTGGGTGCCCCAATAAAATGTCTAAAAATAGGGAAAAAAAAAGAAAAAAAAAGAAAGAAAGAGAATATAGGTAGTAACGAAGAAATAAATATGATTCTAAAAAAACAAAAAAAAGAAATAAATACGTGCCCATGAAATAGTTCGAAATATATGTATGGTGCAAAATAAATGGAAGTTAGTGTTAAAAAAAAAATAAAAAAAAAATAAAAAAGAAGGGTTTTTCTATGGGATTAGCAAAACGTGTCCTATTGACTTGCCGTTTGAAACGGCATAATCTTTCAAAAATAAATTTTTTTTAAAAAAAAAAAAAAAAAAAAAAAACCTTAAAGAGATAAGGACCAAAAAATAAGGGGTTGGGGTGGAGATATTATTGCCGTAACAGCAGCTCCTTGGAATTTAATATGGACATTATCACTTCACAATTAATTCCGAACCTATTTTTTTGTATTCTTTTTTTCTCATATACTCTGTCTATACCTCTTAAAATACTCTCATATTGTCTCTCTACCTCATTATATTTACCTTTTTTAGTAATGTATTGAGTACTCATTTATTTTTTGAGCAGCAATCCTTTGTACTACGTTGGCATAATAAATGAGAAACAAAAAAGAAATAAAACTTGGGAATGTAAATAATCATATTTTTTTAGGGGTAAATAATCATATTTATTTACTGAAAAAAAGAACGTATTTATTTTTTTTATTTTACACAAAAAAATTTGGAACCTTAGGATATTAATAGCGTATATTTCTTTTCCATAAATAAAAATAGTGTATGTTTCTTGACCTTAAATTTAATCAAAATGAAAATAGTATACACAAAACTGAAAAGCTTAATAAAGATTTGACAATTTAAAATGGTGTCGTCATTTTTTTTATAAAAGTACATAATTTGTCATAATTTTATACAAACTTATTATTTATATGATTCTAAATAATTGAATATCATTTGTGGCATTTTACTTTCTTTTTATTAATTGAATGAGAATTATTTATTTTTTAATTGAGTGATATAAATAATATTTTTTAACACTTTGAGTTGTATTTCTTATTTTTTTCTCGTATTTTTTCATATCTTATCTTATTAAAAAGAAGATTATACTCCTAGACTTTTCTTTTGGATATAAACTTAATATTTCACGGTTTAAAATGCGTCATAAGTTTTTCTTTTTGTTATCTTCTCACTAAAAAAATAAAATAAAATAAAATTGTACTTCTAGACTCTTCTTTTTCTAGTGAAGGACAAAAACAAATTTGATTTCAGTGGCCGAATTAGGATGTGGCTAAATTGGACGGCCAAAATAATATAATTCCAATAGGCCAATTCAACTGTCCAAAGAGGGAGAGAGAAAAAAAAGGTCAATATTTCGGTTATGGTTTCACAATTTTAACTAGAAAGCACTCATAAGGTTTTGGAAAATAAGTGAAATAATTAAGTATTAACCAGCCATTTCTATTAAGCATAATGGTTGAAGAAACTTTGCAATAACAAGGTTCAAAATTTTTGTAATAAAAAAAGAAATATAAATAAATAAATACACACTTCATGAGTAGCAGTCACGTTTAGAGAAATTATGATAATTTTGTGGTAAAATATAGAAAATACTTTATTAATAAGACACAGTTATGCAATTAAAAAAGTGAGAGAGTAGAGAAAGAGGGAAAGCAGCGAAGAAAGAGAACAGTCCGGCCGACAACCGGAAGCTGGTCTCCGTCGACTGATTTACACAATGGTGGAATCTATGTTGGTGTTTTTCTTTTCTTTTTTTTTTTGTGGTCGTATGTGGAATAAAGACGATCATTCCGCCAGTATTGGTGTTTGTTTCTCCCACCAATCTCTAGATCTGAGTTTTGCTTACTTTTGTTGATTTTGGTTGTGTTTTCCCATCAAACTCTAACCTTATGTGGGTTTTATTTGTTGGTCTTGATTGTTTTCCCCACCAATCTCTAGATCTAGGTGGGTTTATTATTGTTTTTCATCTTCTGTATGCTTTTAACTAGATCTACTGCTTCGGTGAGCTTGATATGAAAGAATATCGACTTTTAGAGATCAGTCTTTACAAAGAGTTTGCTACAGTCAATTCGAGAGAGAGAGAGAATTAAAAGAGCTTAAAGAAGTGCTCCAATTCATGTCCACCATCGAACCTTGTACCCATGTATTAGAATGCCAAGAATCTACTGATTTTGATTTGTTGTATCAAGTTTTCTATATTAAGATTTCTTTAAGCTTTATGCTTTTTTTCTTTTATCTGAAAAAGTGTTTCATTCAAAAACCAAACATGGCAGCCACAACAGGGGCTATCTCCCGGGACTTGACGAATCCGAAGCTAGGTGTCTGGCTAGCCCACTTACAAAAACGACGAGCATTTAGGCTCCGTTCATTTCACTAATTCGAGTTTAGAATTCAAGTTTTACTACAGTAAAAAGCTATCGGAAACAGTCACATCTAACTTTTTTGCTACAGTAAAAAGCTCTCACATAATGTCACATTTCAACTCGAATTAAAAACTCGAATCAGCGAACTAAACGGAACTACTAGATCTAGGGATCCACTTGAAGGAAATAAAAAGAAAATCCGCAGCTACCACTAAAATGTTATCCACTAAGGGGATGCACCACCATTCCAAGCAAGTTTTATGCTTTGTTGTTAATGAAATGTTGTTTTCCTTTAGAAAAAAAAAAATACAGTTATGACTCGCTAAGTCATATTGAAATTAAATCAAATTAAAAATATATATATGTGAGAATTTAACCGAATTTGATTAAAATCTAGCGGTTTATAATTATTATTTCTTTTCAATCATACCGCCAAATGATCCAAAATATATGGTTCATACCATATGCGTTGGCGAATCGTAATTTCATTTTATATTTTCCATATTCCATACAGACGAAGCAACAACATATGGTCCTCACAAACGAAGAGAGGAAAAGTGAGTTGTAAAATTGCAAGTGTAGGCTCATTCTAGTAGTAACTTCATACTTTTTTTTTTTTTTTTTTTTTTTGACTTGTAGTCTCAAAACTTTTTAATTTCTCATATTCGGGTTCTCATTTTAAAAATTTGAACAACTGGATTTCTAAGATCTCACTTTTTTGGTACGTGAATCCCCATTTTCTAAAAAATTTGTATGGTTGGGTTTTTTTTTTTTTTTTTTTTTTTTTTTTTTTTTATTTTAAAAAAAATTTTTTTTGTTGTTTTTTTTTTTTTTTTTTTTTTTTTTTTTTTTTTTGCATTTGGGTTCCCCATTTTAAAAACTTGGACAACTAAATTCCTAAACTCCCATTTTCTTAGCCATTTTCAGTCGCCATGTGATGTTCGCGTTAAATTTTCTCAGAACAAATTTTTTTTTTTTTTTTTTTTTTTTTTTTTTTTTCACAATTCAAATCACAACATTAATTGTATGGTATTCTAGAGATACTAGTTATGTCTTATGTGTGAGCATATATTCTGTCATGTTGACTTTAATGAGATGTTATAAGTCAATTGATTTTTCTTATTTATTAATTTAATGAACTTAAATACTAATAAAGCTTTTTTGGGGTAAAAATCAATAAAGTTAACAAATTGTAATGTATGTAAAATTAAATTCATTTTTGCTCCGCAATTTTCATTTATTAAATCAATGTTAAAGACGACAAGTTTTGTAGGCATTTTCAGTGGAAACGAAGAAGTTTTTGGTGACGTGAGATCATCTATAATATAAATGTTAATACCAATTATATATTTAGCATAAAAAAAT